TTTTTTTTTCCCTTTATACGAGTTTTTTCCTTTTTTTCCTTTTTGCTATTTATCTCATCATTTGTAATTCCTTACTCGGAGTTGAGAAAATTGGAAGCAAGAACAATGATATGGATAGTTTATTGACCAATTAAATCTTGCGTCTTCCAGTTGATTGTTTTTCTCTACTTATCTCAGAGAGAAACTTATATCATGTGAATTTTCGATACTTGGACATCTTGCAAATTTTTCTTTCACTATAAACTATCAAAATTTCAAATGTGCGGATAGAAGTTATTCCCATCCTATGATATTTGTCTTAAAATTAATGCTATCAATATTCATGGAGCATCTTCTCTGAATGAAATAAGTCCTAAAGACTATTTCCGTTCAGATGAACACAATGTATTCCTTTTTAAAAGTTCTTTTTTTTCTTTAAAAAACTAACTGCTGTCCTTTAAGAAAATCGTTGTGGTAAGTAGTTGGAATCTCTATTGATTTGCGACTTTGAACGTCAAAAGCATATGCTTGTGAGATTTTAAGTTGGCAACAATTTTCGAATGCTTTTTGGTGACAGTCGAGTAGAAAAATTGGAATTGCACTTGTAAGGAGCTGTAAGCCTGTAAGTTTTGGCCCGCCACGTCTTCAAGCTATATTAGTAGTTTCGCATATTTTATATATCATTAATATTTTGTAGTCATACTATTTTATTAGAATTTTTATTTTACTCTACTTTTATTTTTATATAATCTTGAAAAAATGCCAAAAATAGTTTCACAATATAATATTGTTAATTAGAATTAGTTTTGTATTTTATAGTATAGATTTTATTTCAATTTTAGGATGAACATGTTCTTTTAAGTCCAATTCAACCAACATGACCCACTCCTTTTAACCCATACCCACTGATTCATCTGCCCTACCCGACCTAATGCCTTTTAATCTTGGCCATCCAATATCTTCTTATCCAATGGTCCATATCCTATCTACCCACAATATAAAAATATAATTAACATCAAACCCTAATGGAGAAAGGCCCTAGGAGAGACACACGGTGAGATAGCAAGAGGAGAGGGAGAGTTTAAAAAAAAAAAAAAAAAACAGAGAGATCTCGGGAAAAGTTTGATCTCTTCTCTTCTCCCCTTAATTCTTTCTCCTCTACTCCATTGCTAAGAAACCAATTTTTCTTCTTCTTTTTTCGTCCATCGTGTAAGAACCAGTGCAGCTTCGTCGCACCTCTATTCATAGCCGTGTGATCTTCACAACCGTGACTACAACTTTATTCACGTTAGTTCCACCCAGAACCACCAGCCTTGAACCAAATCCTCCATAGCCACCAAACTCCAAAACAAACTCAGTTCAAACAATACTACCTAAAAATTCTATAAAACACCAAGATCCAAGGGGTTTTGTTGGGTTCTGAGTTCGTGTTCGAGTTACAGTCCTTGTTCGAGTTTCCGGCGCCGCTGAAGTTTTCCGGTCTAAGGCTCTTGTCGGTGCCTATTTCTTGGTCCAGCTTGGGTTCTGGAAAATTGCTCTACTAGAATCAGATTTCAATGGAGCTCACAATTGCATTAACATTTGGAATGTATTATTTGCTATAGATTTATTGGAGATCTCATTAATATTGAAGAAGTACTGCTTTGCGAAGGTCCGACTCTTTTCTTTAATCTACTGTTCCTACAATGCTTTATATTGTGCTTTAATTAATGTTGTTTTCCTAATTGCTCTACTATTTTTGTTTGGATACTTTGTTTGATATTATTTCACTTGAGATTATGAACTGCCATGCCTAATTTTCTCATGAAGGTGTGACTAAAAGGGGGTCTATGCTTCAGCAGATGAAGTTGAGATATTGAGTAAAGATAAATTTGTTAATTTGAGCGTTAATGTACATGGGACGTGGGAATTGGGAAGGCCTAGCCCATTAGTGATTAAAATCTGCTCGCACGTTTTAGGAATCGGACTAGGTCTAATACATGAAATGAAGAGTTAAAAGAAGATGAGCATGAAATGAATCTTATTTACTTTAGCTTAATTTTATTTCTATTGTTCTTAATCGCTAGGAGCATGCTTAGGCCGACTACACTCGGGTAGGCAAACCGTAGGTCGCTTCTTTTTATTTTGCTGAGGTAAGAGGTTGTTCCCTTTAGCTTGTATTCAGGGGAATGCCCCGTAGAGTTTGTATATATTATTATTATTCGTGGTATGCTCCGAAGTGAATGTAAACGGAGGCCGAGGCTACACCGTGGAGGAAGTATAGTGTAGGTTACCTTAGGATTTTTATTTTTCATTTTTTCTTCTTCTTTTGTTAGGTGGGGACAACCTCGAGCCTCTTCTGTGTTTATTTTAGCTTTTTGTGTGTTTCTACCTCAATGTGAGTATTTCTAAAAGCCAACTTGATCATGTATGCAACTGTACTAGTTACGGGACTCGGGAATGCCTAACACCTTCTCCCCAAGTCAAATGAACCCCCTTCTCTAGAATCTCTAGTGCAAACTGGTTTAAGAGTCAAATGTGTTTTGAAGGAAATTTGTTATTTTAAAAAACAAAAAGGTGACCTGGCACACCGAAACCAAATGTCGGGTCGCGACTCTGAAAATCCTTCGAAACTCAATCTTTTTGTCATTTTCAATTTTGAAAACCCTTTCGAGTTTTACAAAAATCTTTTTATTAATTTTAAGAGGGTCAGTGGAGTGAAAAAGGGGTGTGACAGAAGCCAGTTCACGGGTTAACTGTAATCTGATCAGGTGCTATTTTCTACTGTTTGTGAAGGTTTTCTGTCTCAGCTAATGAGTCTGGTCAAGACTGGGCAAAACACACAGCAAATGGCAAGAAATATGTGTCATCTCTTGAGATCGATGATTGAGCTTCCAGTATCCAGAGTTGGTTTTCCAAAGAACTCAGCTAGTCGACTCATTTGCTCTTCAACTCAAGGAGTGCGAATCAAACAGGATCGTCCTGGAGAGCATGCTCCTCGTACCTCGGATGAGAAGGAGAAGGAGAAGGTTGATAACAAAATTGAAGGGAGTACTGAAGTTGAGGGCGAGAATGACGAAGGGGGCAGTGATAACATTAATAAAAAGACTGGTGAGATTGGAGGCCCTAAAGGTCCTGAGCCCACCCGCTATGGCGACTGGGAGCGTGGTGGCCGCTGCTCTGATTTCTGATTTCGTTTCAGCTTTTGATTCAACTTCCATCTTATAGGTACTTACCTGTTGGATATGTGGGAGACGAATAAATAATAATGTGGGTGACAATCAAAATAGTCATGTTATTTTCGAAGTTCTCTTTTTCTGATAATAGGGTTAGGTGATTAATCTTTGTTATTAGGAAGTTGTCTTTATGATTACGGGAATGCCTGGCTGATGCCGCAATATTGCAGTGTATCAATTAACGATAGCAGCTTTTAGAGGATTGT